TATAAATATTTTAATAATTTATTTTTACTTTCTATGCAATACAAAGATCAACTGATAAATTTTGCTTATAACATATAATGTTTTTTTTTTAATATCACATCCATACGGATGTGGATTTATACGAGACAGAGCAATAATACATTTGGCACAGACATCATCTTTCAAAGTGTCAAACTGGAATGAAACACCTCCAGTTATATAATTGTTTATATGTAAAATGTTTGTGTGAAATCAAAACAGTCATGTGTCAGTCTTGCACATTCATTTTTAATTAAATATATAACTCAAAACACATAAACACCTCCTTTCAGACTCTTCAAACTGAAATTAAATTCCAGTCACAAATGTTACCAAAGTGATTAAAGGCAAAACTCAAGAAAAGAAAAAGTTTGAGATATTTAATCTTGGAAAGACTTCTCTTCCAGGTGTGTTATCCTGTATTTATGTACGTGTTTTTTTTTGTTTGTTTTTTGTCTGCAGGTGCAGAAACATCTCGTACCCCTCCAATCTACCACAAGTCAGCATCATCTTCATCTTTGTGAATGAGGCGCTGTCGGTCATCCTGCGTTCCGTTCATTCAGTGATCCACTGGACGCCCTCCCACTTGCTCAAGGAGATTATACTCGTGGATGACAACAGCAACAACGGTGAGGGCTTGTTTTTGCCCCAGTGCTGCTTGTTTGATTTGCTGGGGGTAAACAGGGACTGTGGGGGATTGATTATTGTATGACAGATTATGATGAATAATGCATATGAATGTGGATTCATGTGGAAAGAATATTTGAGGTCTGTAACATGATAATACTAGGGGATTATGGGCAGCAGATGTACATGTATCCCGTATGCACAACTAAATGTTTTATGCTTTGGCATCAGAAGCTAGTCATTTCTCTTAAAAACATTATAGTCTAGAAGGAGTCAGATTAATCAAGCAAATTCTTTATCCAAAGAGAAATCTACTTCCATTTTGCATATCATCTGTTCTAAATATTATGTGAGATGTATCTAAAATCATAGCATCAGAAAGGTGCCCAGATGATGTAACGTACCTTGTGCATCCATATATGCTGCTGTATCTTAAATTTATATTTGTGCAAATACATCATACACTTTATATCAGTCCATGCATTCCCTGGCAATAAAGTAAAATTAATTAAAAAAAAAAAAATAAATGAAATAATAATTTTGGCATTAGTACATACAATATCACATACATTGCAGTATAAATGGGTTTGTTAACTTAAATTAGCTGCCTCATGTCCATAAGGAGTTGTTGAATATAACTTGCACATTGGAGGTAATAGCAGTAGAAAAGGTAAAAAAATTATAAATAAAAAAACATTTTAAAGATATACTAAATTGTTGATAATGTTTTACATATAAATATAGTAATGATGTATAATAATAATAATAATAATTAATAATATGAAATATAATTAATATATAATATATAATTAATTAAATACAATAAAGCCAACCTTAAGGTAAAAATAATAAATAAAAAGTAAGGTTTTTAATATTTATATTTTGCAGATATTTTAATATGAATTCAGTTCAATTCAATTCAAGTTTATTTGTATAGCGCTTTTCACGATGCAAATCATTGCAATACATTATAGCAATTATTATATATTGCGATCAAACTTATAGCAAAATTTGGTAGTTTTGTATGTTGTCTGAGGGGTTGACATCATCTCAGGTCTTTTTTATTATATATATTATATATATTAAGATACACTGTTAATGTAAGAAAGGTAAAAGTAAATAAAACATGAATATACAAAAAAAAAATAATAGTTGTTAATAATATATAAAATTTTATTATATAATATTATCAAATATTTAAGATATACTGTCAGTCAATAATAAATAATGCTTGTTAATAATTATGATTTTACAGATATTGTTTTAATATGATTATATAATGTCAAATATATAAAATACACTATATAATAGAATATACAATATAATAGAAATAATAATTTAAAAATAAATATTTAAAATCTACAAATAATGTATAGTAATGTTTTGCTTAATATTAATACAAAAGAAGTAAGATACACTTTCAACTTAAACTAAAAACAATAAATAAATATTTTAAAGATTTGTAATTTAATCGATTCTTTCAGTTTTATTAAAAAAACACAAAAAAATAAGACAGATATGTAAATATCGTGTCATTATTTTTCACACACTGTATAAATAGATCTGTATACACTGAAATATAATATATAACTGCCTTTATATTGTGTCCCTGCTAGGGGATAAAGAAATTTGTTGGTCCTTGACATCAAAATGTTTGAAAAGCCCTGTGTAGACTGTTGGCTTAAGAATGGCTATTTTCTGAAGATAATTGCTGGCTCTGTGCTGTAAAGTACACTACTGAGGTGGGTTCATCCCAGGCGGTTCAGAAAGCAAAAGCTTTTATTTACTCCCAGTCACCTCTAGAGTATTTGGTTTTTCCAGAATAATGACTTCACAGTGGTTATGCTACAGTGACCTTTTACTCGGCGTGTGTGGGATATGGTAAGGGGGCAGGGCGGTTAACGTGAGGTGCAGAGGTTTGGACATTTCTTTCTCCCACAGATTGATAGTGGCCCCACGTCACACCATCTGGTTGCTATGGTGAGACAGGATGATGGCTTTCTCCCTAATAAAAACAAACAGCACAGGAGACAGATGGGAGGGGAGTAATCACCAGCAGACAGCGGTAGAGACTCCAAATATCACAGACCGCTGGCAAATATTAGTATCTGATGTTCGCAGCATTCCAGTTCATGTTCGTAATTCCCTGAGAGGTCGAAGGGGGAGACTATATAAACGAATTTTGATTAGAATGTAATAAAAGTCAGGTACATGTGTCAGTAGGGTCTCCCCGCTTCATTTCGAGCGAGTACTGAAACTTTCTCAGAGGCCACGAGAGTGATTTTAGTAAAAAGCAGGTATGAGGTATGAATTTTCAGATTGCATGAAGAGACTATTTTTCAACTATTTTCCCCTCTTTCCTTCACTTCACGCAAAGCTGAACTGTCGGAAAACCTGCAGAGGTTTGTGGACGAGACCAACCAGCAGCGTCCCGACTTCATTAAAGTGGTTCGGCATGATAGGCAGGAGGGTTTGATTCGCTCTCGGGTCAGCGGCTGGAGAGCTGCGACCGCTCCTGTCGTGGCTCTGTTTGATGCCCATGTGGAGTTCAGCGTTGGATGGTCAGTGACACTTGATTTTTAAAATCATTTTGCTGCCAGTACTGGACATAAAAATTATATAAAGTTTTTACTTATGTTGTGTAAAGTTCTGATGTTTTCAAAATATGATTTAGAGTTTATAATAAAATTCATATAATACGATTTATAAACAATTTACAATAAATGATTAAATTAAATACAATAAATGACAAAATATTATTTTATAATAAAAATCTTATATGCTAAAAAATAACCAAAAATGTTTTTTGTAAAATATCTGAATATTTTTTTAGATTACCATTTTTAATTAATACAATGGTGTATCTTTAATTTAATTGGAATATTACTATGTGGAATATATAGATGCCAGTAATGGTTCCTGGTTTATTTCGATTAAGGCACAACTGTAAACTGACTCACGGTTCAGTCAGTTGTGAACTCAGAATGGGCTCTGATTCACTGATTGAGCCTAATTTAAACCTTTATCAGTGATTGAGAATGAAAACTGTCTTTGATCATGTCAGATGTCAGCTTGGTTTTATTTGCAATCTGTTGTGGTTCCAGGTAAAGAGTATTGACTTTGTCAGTAACGTCTCTTTTGTGACATGCTTATTGGTGGTTAATTTGGGCAAGGTAGGGGGAGCGTTAAATTGTTTTGTACAAATAATAGGCCTGTTCAAATAATAGGTAATATCAGGCAACATTATTCATTATTCATATAATAATAAAATAATTTTTTTCTGAGTATATATCATGAAATACTTTTTTCCACTTCATGTTTTATTATTATTATTATTATTATTATTATTATAAAAATAATAAAAAATTATAATATTTTCAGGAGATACATCAAGGTTTGCAGCCTCTGGTTACAGATAGACCTGTGTGTGTGTGTGTGTGTGTGTGTGTGTGTGTGTGTGTGTGTGTGTGTGTCAATGCACACAATTAAAGTAGATATCTCTGTGGCTCGCTAATGATAACCTGCCAAACATACATCTCACTCCAAACTGGCAGGGTCCTAACCTCTCACTATTACACATGTACGGAGCCCTATCGAGACCTCTGCCGACTCCCATCAGACCAAGCAGGCCTGTAATTAGCCTCCTCAGCCAGAATCCAAGGCCAGAATGGAGCTCGCCACAGCAGACACAGCCACTTGCTCTCACTGTGATTTGGCCTAGCAAAGTTGCAATCACTCCACGCAGGGTGCACCTTGACAATATCCAGCAGATCAAACCCCCCATTACACGCATAGATTTTTTTTCTGGGTTTCATCACTAAGAGCCTCAATGAGGAGAGAGGAAATGAAAATGTCTCAGGAAGTGGCAGGCACCATGTGTGCGGTGGGATTTGGTACTGCGTGGAGATAATGGGCCTCAACATCTGTTCATACAGCTGTGCCTCTACAGTCTAATTCCACACTCTCATCTTCTGAGCTCCTTTGTGCCCCCGAATCTCCAAACGCAACATCGCACAAATGTTGCAATCCTGCAGACATTGCCAAAAAAGGAGGATCTTTCTGCAGCAGGTTTTTGAAGGTCTGTAGTTCAGGCATGATGAAGATAAATTTTCTTTGTCATTTGGTTGCGATTTTAGTTAACAGATGCTATATGCAAAAATAAATAAATGATAAATCAATATTTGTTTTCTTGGTTTGCAGTGAAAATACCTAAAAACCAAAAACTATTATTAATTAATTATTTTATTTACATTTTAGCTTAAATAAAACAATAAATGCAAATGAATTTCTTAGATGTTCAGTCATGGATCATTGGGATTGTTGTCAACGATTATGCATATGAATCATTCTCCTGGCAAATAGGAACAACACACATCTGTCCACTTCCTGTTGAATCCTGTCCAACGAGTCATAGCGTTAAAAGCCTGCCAAACAAGCAGATCAGAATGAATACGATCCCCCCCACTTTCCCATTCATACAAATAATCAGATACAAAATACACAACCAGGGTCTCTTGATAAACCAACTTTTAGTTTGATGCAAACTGGATGCTTTTAAATATACAGTTCAGTTGCACTGAAATGACCCTGACATATGCCTCAGCCAGATGTTGCACTTCATATTTCACCAAACCAGGCCTGAACGAAAGGTTTGGGTGTGAGAATTAAGTGCAGCACGCTGGCATGTGGCCTATATAATCCCGTGTGTAGATTTACTACAGAGATACTCTCGGTTTAAAAGCTCTGCAGGAGTGCAGTGGGTTGGGAAAAACCAAGAAAATCAAACCCACACACAGAAATAAGCTGCCATTTTTCATTTTGAGCAGCATAACGTGTGCTAATTGAGGGTAAATCAATAAATAAACAGCAGCTTTTTGTGATTTTTTTCTCTCCCATCTTTACTGACACACCAGGTGGTGACTACGCTGTTAAATTGCTCAATGTCAGCCGCGTGTCAGGCAAATATGTTGAATTCTAGCAAGTTAAATGGCCTGTTAGAGCTTTCAAATAGGTCCTTTCGAAATTCTCCTTACCATGTGGTGAAAGGCACCAATATTGTTTTGTAAATGAAGAGCCAATTTAGGAGTTTAGTTTGAACAAAGAGCTCCGCTGTGTGAAAATTAGAAACCTTTAGTTGATAATTATAGAAAATGAACGTCCTTGATTTGAAGTGTATTGTTTAGCTTATTAAACAATAAATGCAAATGAATTTCTTAGATGTTTAGGTTCTGCAAAAAAAAAAGAAAAAAAAAAAGCAAAACAAAAGCACTGATAGTTTTGTTGTTTTTTGTTTGTTTATTTAGTTAGTTAGTTAGTTAGCATTGTAGATCATTCTCTTTGAGTTGCATTTTTAGACCACTGCAAAAAATAATTTTTAATCAGTATTTTGTCTTGTTTACAGTGGAAATACCTAAAACAAGATCAAATGAATTAAAAAGCATCTTGCATCTGATTTTTAAGACTTGTTTTCAGAGATTATATTTATTATTCATTTTGAAAATGTTTTTATCCAAAGTAACTTACTTGCTTTTTGCTTTTATAACAAAGTTTTTTTTTTTGCTTAAATCAGGAAGAAATAATTTGCCAGTAGTGTAAGACAAACTTAATGTAAGATATTGTTTGTGTTAATTAGCATTTTTGTTTTGAAAGTAAAACTTATTTTAAATACTATACATTATTATGCTATAATAATGTAATATAATAATAATAATAATAATAATAATATAGTAACGATTAAGATGTTGCATTTTTGTAATTCAATAACCTTCTTATGTTGAATTCTAGCAAGTTAAATGGCCTGTTAGAGCTTTCAAACAGGTCCTTTCGAAATTCTCCTTACCATGTGGTGAAAGGCACCAATATTGTTTTGTAAATGAAGAGCCAATTTAGGAGTTTAGTTTGAACATCAATAACCTTCTTTCTATACTGCAGTTATGTTTTGAAGATATTTTGATGGACAGTTTTCTAAAATTACACCTTGTCAGTCAAACTCACGCTGGAGGCACTGAAGCAAAAGAAAATGTCCTGTTTTGCTGACCCTCATTGACATGGTGTTAAGGGGAGCTATTTTCACTTTGAAAGAGGGTACATGCTCAATAAAAGGTCAACGCATCTGTTCTCTTCTATTCTTAGCTCTCGATAAAGGGCTCTGTTTATCAGTGATTGAGAATGAAAACTGTCTTTGATCATGTCAGATGTCAGCTTGGTTTTATTTGCAATCTGTTGTGGTTCCAGGTAAAGAGTATTGACTTTGTCAGTAACGTGTAAATGAAGAGCCAATTTAGGAGTTTAGTTTGAACAAAGAGCTCCGCTGTGTGAAAATTAGAAACCTTTAGTTGATAATTATAGAAAATGAACGTCCTTGATTTGAAGTGTATTGTTTAGCTTATTTGTTTCAACAAAGCCTTTTTATTTCAATAAGGTACAGTACTTTTTGTTCCTTATGGAGTGTTGTTTTTTTCTCAGTAATTTGGTTTATTCTGCTATATGACTCACATACTCCCTAATGACTCACAAGAACTGTTTTTGTGGACTGCCTAATGCAATGGATGCTAAAGGGCATTTTCGAGAGCTAATTTTTCTTCATCCTTGTCAAAATTCAAAACACGAGACATTCATGTGTGTGTAATCAGGTATGGCTGTGCGGTGGAAGCGTGGAGGTCATGCCCTGTTCCAGAATAGCTCATATTGAGCGCGCACACAAGCCCTACACAGAGGACCTGGCAAATCACGTCCGCAGGAACGCTCTGAGAGTGGCCGAGGTGTGGATGGACGAGTTCAAGAGCCACGTTTATATGGCCTGGAACGTTCCACAACAGGTACTACACCTCTCACTTGCACTTTATATGAGTAGTTGAAGCTCTAAAATCTGAATGGATTGAAATCTAGGATTCAGAATCTTACTTACAGCAGGAAATAAATAGTAGCTGATGATCGTTTTTAATTGTGATTTGTGATTGTGAATTAAAAGAAAATAAATCTTACACAATTTTACATAAAATCGACAAGAAATATTTAAAAATCGGAACATTTCTAAATCAACAAATAAACAAACTTGTGACTATATATATATATATATATATATATATATATTAGTCTTAAGAATGAAACAAGAATCTTTTGTATACATTATAAATTAAATATTTTTTAAATATTAAATGTGAGGTTTAAATTAAAACACAATTTTACATAAAATCGACAAGAAATATTTAAAAATCGGAACATTTCTAAATCAACAAATAAACAAACTTGTGACACTGACTATGTGGACTCCTCACAAACTTTCATTCAAATTTTTATTCAAATTATCTTATTCATATACTATTTTCACTGAAAGTGCTGATAATTTGTAATTTAAAAAATTGTAATATACACTACCATTCAAAAGTTTGGGGCCTGTAAGATGTTTTAATGTTTTTGAAAAAAAAGTCTCTTATGTTTACTAAAGGCTACAGTTATTTGAAAATATACAGTAATAAAAAGTAATATTGTGAAATATTATTATAATTTAGGTTTAAATTAAAACAATAAAGTAGTAAATTTGATTTCTTAGATGTTTAGATAAAAAAAATTTAAAAGCCAAACAAAATCAATGATAAACTGATTTTTTCATTGTAGATCACTCCCGGTGGTGTTTTTTGGAAAGCGACCAAGTCTTAAATGTCTCCCAGACAATATAAGGCTGGTTTGATTCTCATTTCATGCTTGTGAAATTTGCTTCTTTGCGACAGATTACAGATTGAATATCTCTGTCTGCAGCAGGTATTGTATGCAAATGTGAGAAATGATTTTTTAATGCTTCGGGAGAACAGACGGCTCAGTCATGGATCATTGGGATTGCTGTCAACGATTATACAGTTCAGTTGCACTGAAATGACCCTGACATATGCCTCAGCCAGATGTTGCACTTCATATTTCACCAAACCAGGCCTGAACGAAAGGTTTGGGTGTGAGAATTAAGTGCAGCACGCTGGCATGTGGCCTATATAATCCCGTGTGTAGATTTACTACAGAGATACTCTCGGTTTAAAAGCTCTGCAGGAGTGCAGTGGGTTGGGAAAAACCAAGAAAATCAAACCCACACACAGAAATAAGCTGCCATTTTTCATTTTGAGCAGCATAACGTGTGCTAATTGAGGGTAAATCAATAAATAAACAGCAGCTTTTTGTGATTTTTTTCTCTCCCATCTTTACTGACACACCAGGTGGTGACTACGCTGTTAAATTGCTCAATGTCAGCCGCGTGTCAGGCAAATATGTTGAATTCTAGCAAGTTAAATGGCCTGTTAGAGCTTTCAAACAGGTCCTTTCGAAATTCTCCTTACCATGTGGTGAAAGGCACCAATATTGTTTTGTAAATGAAGAGCCAATTTAGGAGTTTAGTTTGAACAAAGAGCTCCGCTGTGTGAAAATTAGAAACCTTTAGTTGATAATTATAGAAAATGAACGTCCTTGATTTGAAGTGTATTGTTTAGCTTATTTGTTTCAACAAAGCCTTTTTATTTCAATAAGGTACAGTACTTTTTGTTCCTTATGGAGTGTTGTTTTTTTCTCAGTAATTTGGTTTATTCTGCTATATGACTCACATACTCCCTAATGACTCACAAGAACTGTTTTTGTGGACTGCCTAATGCAATGGATGCTAAAGGGCATTTTCGAGAGCTAATTTTTCTTCATCCTTGTCAAAATTCAAAACACGAGACATTCATGTGTGTGTAATCAGGTATGGCTGTGCGGTGGAAGCGTGGAGGTCATGCCCTGTTCCAGAATAGCTCATATTGAGCGCGCACACAAGCCCTACACAGAGGACCTGGCAAATCACGTCCGCAGGAACGCTCTGAGAGTGGCCGAGGTGTGGATGGACGAGTTCAAGAGCCACGTTTATATGGCCTGGAACGTTCCACAACAGGTACTACACCTCTCACTTGCACTTTATATGAGTAGTTGAAGCTCTAAAATCTGAATGGATTGAAATCTAGGATTCAGAATCTTACTTACAGCAGGAAATAAATAGTAGCTGATGATCGTTTTTAATTGTGATTTGTGATTGTGAATTAAAAGAAAATAAATCTTACACAATTTTACATAAAATCGACAAGAAATATTTAAAAATCGGAACATTTCTAAATCAACAAATAAACAAACTTGTGACACTGACTATGTGGACTCCTCACAAACTTTCATTCAAATTTTTATTCAAATTATCTTATTCATATACTATTTTCACTGAAAGTGCTGATAATTTGTAATTTAAAAAATTGTAATATACACTACCATTCAAAAGTTTGGGGCCTGTAAGATGTTTTAATGTTTTTGAAAAAAAAGTCTCTTATGTTTACTAAAGGCTACAGTTATTTGAAAATATACAGTAATAAAAAGTAATATTGTGAAATATTATTATAATTTAAAAGTGTCACATGATCCTTCAGAAATCATTCTAATATGCTGATTTGCTGCTCAAGAAACATTTCTTATTATTATCAATGTTGAAAACAGTTGTGCTGCTACATTTTTTAGATATTGTTTTACAGGATTCTTGGATAACTTAAAAGTTAGAAAGAACAGCATTTATATGAAATAGCAAACTTTCATAACATTATAAATATCTTTACTGCCACTTTTGATCAATTTAATGAATCCCTGTTGAATAAAAGTATTAATTTCTTTCAAAAAGAAACGTTTTACTGTTTTATTGATCCCAAACTTTTGAATAGTAGTGTATAAATTAAATTAGAAATATGCAAAATAGAAGCATTTCCACTTGAGGTCTCAGAAACGTATTTGTATATCAGTAGGCTAAGCTAAATTGCTTGGCAACCATAAGTTGCCTACAGTCAATTTAATTATCCTTTGCACATTAGAGTTTTATTGTATTTCGGCTGTCACTGTTTTAGAAAAGAAAAAAGCCACTGTAAACCAATCTCTACTGTGTTTTTTACCCATGGTTAAAGGGGATTTAAGCACTCGTTTTACCTAACAACACACACATTTAACCATGGCATGTTTTCTGTAACACACAGCCTTGAGTGGCTTTCAGTTCTATATTAGTACATGAATGTGATGGAAATTAAAGGATACATGCTGGTTTGTCATTTTAAGTGAAGATGTAATGGGCTGAGATGTAATGACCTTGACTTATTTAAGCTAGTCATTAGGGCTTTTTAATGAGCTCTCACTTTTGAGCTGTACATATTCTTCCCATGACGCCCTGAAATGCCACAGCATATAGCATCACTTCACTTGAAGCCACTGTAAGTGCCTGAACCAGGGGTGTAGCGTCTGGGTATGCAGGGTATGCACGTGCATATGGGCCTGGGTGGATTGGGGGCCCGCTATCACAGGCTTAAGCCCAAAGTATACTTCAGCCGTCCGAGTCCGTGCACCGTCCGCATTGCGTACAGTAATTTTCGTCATCAGGAGCATTCACGGACATCCGCACACCCCGTCCACGTACAGCCCAATTTCTGTGACCGCAAGGACAATGCGCGTACAACAGCGCATACGAGAGTGAATTGAGTGCTTGAAAACAAAAGTCCACTAGATAGTGTGCACGCGCCGAACGCATCCCATTTCGTGCTCATGGCAAAGGAAAGGCTCGTGCGCGCATCTGTGAGTGAGACAGAGCGAAACTTGCACAGTGATTTATACCCGGGCCTTAAATTTGTGCCGGAACAAGCCAGATCCAGCACCTCATTTAGGGCATGCCCAATCTCATACACCAAACCAATGAAAGATCTTTGTTATGAGCTCTGTTCATATGTTCAGGCAAAGGCCTATAATAACAATAATGTTGTCAGTTATTTGCTATATCCATGCTGAATGTACTTTTAAAAATTTGTTAAGAAGTTGAATAAATGCTGCTAAAAATGGTCCATGCCAGGATCTATTGGATTTGACCGGTATTCGTTTTTCTGTCATTTGTGAAGTGGGTTTCTGAAAATTATGCATGCAGTTTGGCTGTTGTAATAATGTAATACAGTATTTTAAATGGGTCGCATTTAAGCTTATACATAGGTTTTTCTGAAAAATTTGTCTATGTCTGCACATTTTGGGATATTGTACAAGAATAAAATCTCCAAAATGTAACTCGTACAGTCGCTTAGGTGGATACTTTTTTTCAACAAAATAAAATGTACATAAACTGTGATGGAAACATATTTACAAAATAAAAAATGTGCATTAAAAAAGTCTGTGAATGAATAATTCATTCATAACTGTAACAGGAATAATCTTAGGACTCAGCATCGCATCTGAAATGGTGTTCTGATCATTCTGAAATTCCAAAGCCAGAGTCGAGTCAGTTGGCAATTTTTTTTTTAAAATAGATCTACAATGCAAAGTCATAATGATGAAGGTGCGCATAGACTGTAGTGATCCTAGAACTGACACGCCGTTGTCATGAATTTTTTTTATAAAAATGTTAATATATTAATATCACAACAGAGGGGGCCTTTACATTTTTTTTGCATATGGGCCCGAGGCTGACTTGCTACGCCACTGGCCTGAACATGAAGGACTGAGATAAATGTACATTGACTCAATAAGAGCTTTTCTTCCACCGCATTCCTGAGCATCATGTTCTAGCAGTTTGATTCTGCACTCTATAAATGAATTCTTGTGTTCTCACGACTACATGTGCTTGTGGGTGTTTGTGTGTGCAGGACTCAGGGATCGATATTGGTGATATCAGAGAAAGAAAAGCTCTCAGAGAGAGACTCCGCTGCAAACCCTTCAGCTGGTTCCTGAAGAATATTTATTCTGAGATGAGAACCTACACAGAGACCATCGCTTATGGTGTAGTGAGTATCCACTTTTCATCAAATAACGGTCTTCGCTTTAAAGGGTTACTTCACCCAAAAATGAAAATTAGACTGTGTTTTACTCACCCTCAAAGCATCCTAGGTGTATATGACTTTCTTCTTTCAGATGAATCCAGTCGGAGTTATATTAAAGGGGTCATTATGTTTGAAATATGGATATTTTTCTTACAAAAACTCATGGATTCGCTACAGGTGGCCTTTATTCATCCCCCGGAGCCATCTGCGGCACATTTTATTATGAATGCACGAGCTTTATTTGACGACATGTGGACTGTTCAACTGCAACACCCTCTGAGTGCCATTAAACAGCTTGAAAGATCAAAGACAACTTTTAACATAACTCTGACTGGATTCGTCTGAAAGAAGAAAGTCATATACACCTAGGATGCTTCGAGGGTAAGTAAAACACAAGCTCATTTTCATTTTTGGGTGAACTAACCCTTTAAGGTCCATATACAAAACTGATGCCATTTGTGTCCCTCATGTACTGTACAAATATGTAAAAATAATTACCTAAAGAATACATAGTGCCAATTTTGAATGTCTTAATAGACATTTTTTCACATCAACAAAAAAAAAATGTATATATATTTTTTTAATTTTAGTGGAATTTTTACAATTTTAGAATATATTTATTGTATTTTTTAACTTCTGTATTAGCAAATATGTATGTGTGTGTGTATCTGTGTCTATATATATATATATATATATATATACACACACACA